GCACAATTGGGAAATGGGGACTGAGTGTTGTCACCCTACAACAGAAAGTGCCTGAAAACCTTCATGGGATGACCTTCCGGCATTGTTTTAATTAAAGCTGCAGATGTAAAAATAATGAAAATGTTTCTTTAAATAACATTAACATGTGATAGCGCATCTGCGATTTTAGCAATTGGGTTTACAAACACATGAAATCTGTGAGCACAGAAGTTCAGCTATTGTGAACCCCGCCCTCTTCATAGCTGACATATTTGTAAAAGTTTAAGGTCTGGATCTCATTCCAATTATTGCATCACTATTTAGTGAGCCAGTGATCAAAGGCAAGCATGCAGACAGTGAGGTATCTGGACACTTGACATACCCCAATATTGCTGGGTCATACACCAACTCACTGGGTGGTGGAAGAGGGATGAGGATGGCTCTTCAACGACAAGTGAATGGCAGCTCCCATAGTTCTATACGGGCGGGTTCTGTCATTGCCTTCCTGTAGAGCTGGCCATACATGGCCCATTTAAAGCTGGCAACACCACCGATTCGAGGACCTTTTGCAACACTGAGTGTACAAGTAAGAAGGTGCTGAAGTAAGACATATTGCTGCATGGCAAGATTTCCCAGCATGCTGTGCAGCCTTTACCCTCCTCTCTTTAAATGGAACCCCTTACTTCCCATTGTTTGGGTAGAAGACCATTATGTAGAGGTTTGAGAAAACAACTTCGGGATCAGGACAAGCAGATACCCCTCCTTAGAGTGTCCTTAGAATTTAAGATCTGTAGGGAGCGGTGACTACAGTAGGGATATTAACTTGGAAACGCCTTTAAGGAAACTGATGTGAATGTCAGATTAAAGAGATTTGAAACCACCAGAATTACTGTGACACTCATTTTACTCCTTTTAGACCTCATTCACACGAGAAAAGGCCGGCACGTACAGCTCCGTGAGGCGTGCACGGCCATATCGGGCAGCTCCCAGGAAGGACAGGTGCTGCGTGTGATCAGTATGCAGCCTCTGTCTTCTCTATGGGAGTACGTGGCCGTACGCCGCCCTACGCTCACCACAAGTGCGGGTCCGTACGGGTGCGGGTGTCCCGGCTCGGAAGCAGACGGGATCCATCCTGTCAGCAGCCGCGTATGGACACCCGCACGGACGTGCATGGTGGGTGAGCCTAGTGCGGCGTATGGCCACGTACTCCCATAGAGAAAGACAGGAGCTGCATACTAATCACACGCAGCACCTGTCCTTCCTGGGAGCTGCCCGATACGGCCGAGCTGTACGTGCCGGGCTTTTCTCGTGTGAATGAGGGCTAATTGTGAATACAGCATCACATACTGTAGATCAGAATAGCTAACACCTCATAGAGTCCCTTCCCTAAAGGGTGTCTCTGGTCAAAAACTAAAAATAAATCTCTATTTCTATATTGAATTTATCTCCCGCTCCTAATAACTATATCCATGTAGAAGTTTGTAAACTTACTTATTGAAGATGCCCTTAAGATGAACTTCCTCAATGTCCTGACACCATTTCACTCAGCAATATGCACTTCCTTGTGTCGCAACAAACAGAGCCTCCCCTGTGAACTACAGCTCCATGTCTGAGCAATCTAACATCATCATTGCTTGCTAAAAGTGATGCATAATGGGACATGTGGTCACATCAAGCAGCAGGGAAAGAGATGCAAAGCACACTATGAAAGTGATGGGCAGACGGAAGGCAGCACTCACTGCATAAAAGTGATTTTTTTTTTCCTGTAAACTTTGATTGCGTTATCAAAACCAACTCTAGCATGTATTCTTATTACAATACTGATGCTGTGACATAACAATATATATGCTGGGACTTTAGAATTCCGTTAAGGTGACATAGCGACTATGACCCTAATGACTTCTGGAGCACATTAATAATTAATATGGCATCATCATTCCATGTTATCGCAAAAAAGTGCATTGGAACTAAATAAAATAATTAGATTCAACTGCACAGAAACAAAAAAAAACCCCATAAAAATAAAACATAAACAACATGCTATAAGTAAAATAGAAAAAACAGATTGTAAGCTAATAACTATTATTATTATTAATATGGCATCATCACACCCTATAATAGCCTCATTGAAACCAATATAGGAAAAAGTATTCAGTTGCGTAGAAAAAAAAAACAAAAGCAAGAAAAAAATCAACTGCTTAGAAACAAAATGAAAAAAAAGTATTCAACGGTGTAGAAACAAAAATTGAATTAAAAAAATTCAACTGCACAGAAATAAAAATAAAACAAAAACAAGATTCTATAGGTAAAATTAAAAAAACAGGTTTAATTTTAATAATAATTAAAATAATGTGGCATCATCACACTCTGTGATATTTGCATTGAGACAAATATAGGAAAAAAAAAGTATTGAACTGCGTAGAAACAAACATGAAATTAAAATAAATTCAACTGCATAGAAACAAAAATAAAACACAAAAATAACATTATATAAATAAAATTAAAAACACATCAATGCAGTATGTTTCTATTTCTGTATTTTACTTTTTGTTTGCTTCTTTTTGTGTATTTTTGCTGTGTGGACACTTTGCTGGGTGTCTGGTCACACACATCTCCATGCACAGCAATAAATCACGCTAGTGTGTGAGTCCAGTGGGTGTGTGGAGTGTTATTCTACGGTCATTAGCTGGGCCCTGGTGTGGCTTGTGTGATTAACCCTGGCCAGGCTCGGGAAGTACATGGCACACACCCCAGGGTTCTCAGCGTGTTCTCTTGGCACCAGAAACACATTGAACAATATAGCGCTGTGTGTGACACATGGCGTAGTTAGGGACGTGCTCCGAGGCCTGGGCCAAACGCCTTCAGCGTAATGTAGGACGACGTTTATGGAGAGAGAATATAAATGTCAGCTGCAAAAAGGAACTTACCCCGTGGCTCACACAGACCTAGGCTGCTAGTGTTATGGCGGCCATACATGTATTGCTTTGTGATTGATTTTGCCACGACCAATCCCAAACAAGCGATTCACCATTGATTAAAATATTGAACACACAAGGTATTGTTCTGCACTTTTGGGATAGATTGAAAATATTGATCAAAAATGTAAACGTAACATTTTTTAACAAGGATAATTGAATCAATCTGAATTCTGTCGGTTCTTTTGCACATGAACAGACATTTGCGCGACTGCATAGAAGAAATCATCAGCCAATGAATGCAGCAGAGTTACAATTGATGGATTGCTCATTATATTGATCGAATTAAGGATATTCGGTTTGCAATTTTTATTCTACCTGATCAGTTTAGTCACATTGAATGATCGATTGTATGATCATATCATTACGTGTGTGGCTACAATGACACAGAGCCATGGTGAAGTAATTGCAACGACCCAACAAACCGAGAGGGCAGATCCTGTACTGTAAAGGTGCAATCCTTTAGCAATTGCCTCTTCAGGGGGCTTTTTGCCCCTTAAAGGTAATGGGGGGAATTTATCAAGACTGGAGCAGACAAAATCTGGAGCAGCTGTGCATGGCAACCAAACAGCTTCTCTCTTCAGTTTGTTCAGGAAGGCTAGGTTCACACCAGATGCAGTACGTTCCGGCCCAATTATGGCCAGAACGCACTACATCGCATTGCGGCCGGCTCATAGGAGGGAGCGTGGTGGGCCATTGAAGTGAATGGCACCGTAGCCGCAATGCGATCATCCGCACGGGATCGCACGGCACATTGTGCCTGCGGTCCGGTGCGATCAAAATGCTGCAAGCACTATTTCTCACCAGCATTAAGATCGTTGTGTGACTTCATGGATGGAGGAATCTCCTCTGCTGTGGATGGAAGAATCTACCCTGTCGGCTACTGCATTCTGACAGCCGGAACCCGCAGCTGTCAGAATTCTCAAACAGTGACTGCCGCTGATTTTCGACTCCTTCAACTTTGTGCCAACAGGGCCACCCACAGCGCATATTTCTACCAAATCAGCAGGACTCAAGCAGTGAATAGCCGGCTTTACTTAGATAACTACTGACCACACAGCTGGAAATAATATATAACCCCAGTTGGCTCTAAAGCTCCCCTTCTCTCTATTACTGACATATGTACAATAAAATATACTGGCCGCTCTTTGCCTTTCCTCAAGCTCCAAAGATCTGCAAATAAAGAAATAGTAATACTTGGAACTTGTTTAAGGCTTTATTTTATCATTAGTAATCAAGTGTTGAATAGCAAATGGAACTCTTGCATATTAACACTGGTTACTCATGCTTCAAAACCCTAGTGCCTAGCTTGCAGCCAAAGGGATGAATCTGGCCCTTTGGTATTATTGTGTGGCCCTCCCAACAGCCAATAGAAGAAGGGGAGCATTGATTTGTAAAGGGGTTGTATTGTCAGTGATCTTTATCAGTCTCATGTAGTCTTTGACCATCTCCTGTAGTATATCCCTGGTCTCTTATAGTCTTCTGTAGCATTACATATACAGAATATTAAATGCAGCCCCTTGGTGATGTCAGGGACCACAGCTGTGGTCCCCTTAACTGTAATGGAATATTGTATAACAATTGTATTACATCATGTCAAACGCAAGATTGATGATTTGCTGCAAAATAAAAATGTAAAAACAAATATCAGTGGATAAAAAGCCAGACTAGACGATACAGAAGCCATGTTGGGAACAGAAGGGTGTTTTACATTTTTTGTTGTGTGCAGCACTATAGTACATTTTGCTGGTGTGCAAAGAAGAGATAAACTCATAATGATCACGCACTATGTAACCAGTTCCAAATGAAGCTCACAGATTATTGACGGGACTTTGTGACTCGTGTCTGCAGCCTCCCCGTCCCTCTACCATCTTATACTTTATCATTGCTGGCAGGATATGAGCCCTTGACAGGTGTGGTTAGCGGTGATCATATGAAAGGTTTTGGCTGGAGTTTTACTTTAAATGCTTAGAAATGTGTATGAATAACAATGTAGCGCTTTACTGTAGGGCTGATGATCTAAAAAGTCCTTGCTTGGTGTTGTAGGAGGACATCGATTTCTGGGAACTGGAAGGCAAACACTGGATCGGCCATGTTGGAACAGATCGCAATGACTGACAGGTAAGCCCCTAGCTTCTTTAATACCCATCAGATGAAAGTGATGAATACTTATGACAACATGTAAAGAGTCACCCCCAAATCCATTAACTCCGTTTGGTAAAAGGAACCATTTGGTATAGAAAGCCTTCCCACTCATTCAATGGCCATCTAATATATAGATGACAATCACACCATTAAAGCTGAACTCTGGGCGCAGTCGTTGTAATAGCTGGAGTGATTAGGATCAGTTTACCTCTGCCACATTGTAGTTGGATGTATCTGTTTCTCTCTGCACCCCTAAAGCTCCTGTGAGGCAGAGAAAGGGGCAGAGTGACATCTTCAGGCAGAAGATCACCTCCAGTGACCACTGTGATAGGCTGTCATGGTAATCACATGAATGCGAGTCACGCTGGTCAGTGACCGATTGTTAGTATGGGATCTGCAGATGTTAGTGACAGTGCCTCCCCCTGACATGATCCAGACCCCCGTGAGAAAAGTGTAATCAATAAATACAATCAGTATCAGTAATCAATCAGTAATCAATCAGTAATCAATAAATACATATCAGTTGTAAATTCTGCAAATTATATAAAGGTTGCATTCTAGTATTTCTTTGTTTCTACCTATTTAAACCCTAAAATATATGGGTTCTATGTATCAAAGATTTGCATAGTTTATACATCCAGCAAAACTGCAGGTACATTGGTTCTGTGCGAGTAAACCAGCCGTTGTGAGAATGGGGAAAAAATGAATGTTCTTAGTGTAATTTCTCTTCCGGTCGAATGATCTTCAATATACAGAACAGAGTGAATGGGGAAATACTAGATGGAGCTGAGGATCATTGGAAAGAAGTACATGTTAGTATTGAGATACAATGTTGCATTTTTAGTGACTGCTGTAGAGCATAAGCATATAAATGTAACCACTGATACTACAAGGATGACAATGGTTACATTAATATGCTCATTGTCTCTAGTGTTCTCTTGAATTGTATGTCGTTACTAACATGTGTTTATTTCCTATGATACTCAGCTCTTTCTAGTGGACATAATGCTGTATTTTTCTGATTCACTCTGTTCACAGCAGGTCATTACTGCACTTTGCGATGTGCAGCAATGCCAGTACAAATCAACTGCTACCACAGAGCCCCAATGCAAGTAAGCAGTCCACTGGTGTGAATGGGTCCTTAATATGGTGTGCGCTTTTTGGCGCAGTAATACTCAGCCGAGAGTGCCGCAGTGATGCAGGGTCCAGAGAGTGGGTCCATGACAGTCTGGGCTTGGAAGTGAGGTGAATGATGCAGACCATCATTCAATCTAGGAGACTGAGGATATCTTGTGGCAGAAAAAAATTACCGCAGGTTATAGCTCTGGATTGAAGGTGATAGCTGCAGAAACAGACGCTTTTTATTCTTATTTTTTAAGGAAGCTCTTCTTTTTTTACAAATCCATAGATAAACAATGCAAAATTGCTCATTGTACATCACAATACAAGTAATTTCACCCTCCTATATTACAGATACCGCTTATGGGTAGATTCGTGCTCTGAACTTTTTGGTGGCGTGGACATTTGTGCTGTGAAAGCTGTCCATAGTAAGGAAGGCAAAGATTTTATCATTGAGGTGAGTTACTGAGTGAAAAAACATCCACGCTTTACAGTCAGGACATCAAAGGGAAAATGTTCCCCTCTCCACTTGTTAACACTCTGCAGCTCCCCTTCCACAGCCAACAGGTGGATCAAGAGAGCACCCTCATAAAATGCTAGACGAGTGTCTGTCTGGCCATGTGATGGAGGGGAAATGTGACCTTCTGGAGGCTTCTGGGAAATTGCAGCAGCCGTGACTTCACACATGAGTAACACTAGAGGAAAATCTCTTCACTTATGCAGCAGAACCAAAGAATACTGTAATAATACTCAACTGCATTGCGAATCTTCGATTTAAAAGAGAGACGCCTATTAATAAAAGGTCAAAATTGATATTTTGACTGTTGGAATATTGAGTCAGTCTATTTTTTTCAGCTGCTCTGTGTTAAGTTCACAGCTCATTTTTACTATAGTGTATCTTGCGAAGGAGTGAGAAAGCCGATGTCACACTTCGAGAAGTCGCCAGCGCCAGAATCACTAAAATGTGCAGGGAGAATACTTAGCTGCTTGTATGTGTTGCTCCCTCGTTGGTTGGATAAGCAAGGCATCACTCCCTTGCTTTACAGAACTCTGAAGGGGGTTGGCAATTGGTCGTTCATGATCTACCCATCAATCGAGGCCATGTGACAGGTACTGGGATCGGGATCAGGAACTGGCATGCCAGTTCCTGATCCCATCTACTGCCTCTCAGACCTCAGATCAAAGTTACAATAGGCATTGTAAAGCCAAGGGAACTCCTGGGCTCCTTCTCAGCTGAAGAGAGACCTGGGAGGACTACCCTCACTCAAGGGGGAATTCTCCTGTACTTACTACTGACCCCTGAACTCTCCATGAATTACTACTAACCCCTGAACTCTGCATTACATTTTACTTTCATCTGACCCCTGAACTCTCTGGTACTAACTATGAACCCCTGAACTCTCCTGTACTTTGTACTAACTCCTAAACTCTTTGTTATTTACCACTGACCAAGGAATACCAATTACTTACTAGTAACTCCAAAGCTCACCATCACTTACTACTAACCCCTGAACTCTCCAGTACAAACTACTAACCCCTGAACTCTTCATAAATTACTACTGACCCCTAAACTCTGCATTACTTACTACTAACCCCTGGATTTTGAGGTACTTACTACTAACTGCTGAACTCTTCATTACTTACTAGTGACCCTTTAACTCTTCATCACTTACAACTAACCCCTGAACTCTCCAGTACAAACTACTGACCCCTGAACTCTCCATGAATTACTACTAACCCCTGAACTCTGCATTACTTACAACTGACCCCTGAACTCTGGATTAGTTACAACTGACCCCTGAACTCTCCAGTACTTACTACTAACCCCTGAACGCTTCGGTTCTTACTACTAACCCCTAAACTCTCCATCACTTACTACTAACCCCTGAACTCTCCAGTACAAACTACTGACCCCTCAACTCTCCAGTACAAACTACTGACCCCTCAACTCTCCATGAATTACTACTGACCCCTAAACTCTGCATTACTTATAGCTGACCCCTGAACTCTCTAGTACTTACTACTAACCCCTGAACTCTTCTGTACTTAGTGCTAACCCCTGAACTCTCCATTACCTACTAGTGACCCCTAAACTCTCCATCACTTACTACTAACCCCTGAACTCTCCAGTACAAACTACGGACCCCTGAACTCTCCATGAATTACTACTGATCCTTGAACTCTGCATTATTTACAACTGACCCCTGAACTCTGCATTACTTACTACTAACCCTGAACTCTGCATTACTTACTACTGATCCCTGAACTCCCTGTTACTTACTATTGACCCCTGAACTCTGCATCACTTACTACTGACCCCTGAACTAAGGTGTGTGGGAAATGTATGCATCAAATAGTGTATCCTTTTCTTGTCGCTGTGGTTCCTAACACTTACCAATACATCACCACTATAGTGATGTTAGGTGTCAGCAGAAGGAACCACAGTACGTGCCAGAGGATGCGCTACCTGACATACCCATAAGTGGTGAATAACAGTGGCGCCCACTGCCCTTGAAACGAGCGAATGTTTCCCACCTTTCTCACAGGACAGGTTACACATTTAGCCTCTTCTCTCGCAGGGTGCCACTATTTTCTTCTGAATAATGACAGGGAACTTAGACTAATGAAACGCCCCAAAAGTCTACGATAGGCTCACTTCTTCAATCTGGAGTACTCGCAGTGTGCAGTAATCACTTTTCATTACCAGTCCGTTGTGCTTTAACAATGGTTTCTGGTTTGGTTGACATGAGTATCTGCAGTGATGGCTGGCAGTGAATAAAGCAGTACCCATGCAATGTATACAGGTATGTTTATTATAGTCAGCTTTCCAACAAATAAAGGGGCCCCCGGCCACAAAGACACCGGATTTATGTCAGGGCCACTCCAGCAAAAGCGATTCTGGTTCACTTCTTGCACTCCTGTCACAGCAGGGTACCAGAGACGGGTACAAATTTCAGTGATTCTGTGGCACTCCTCGGTAGGAATGCTAATCACTTCCCCAGATGCTGCCACAGGCTTCAGGTCACCATGTCATTGTATTCTGCAGTCCGTGTAATATCCGCCGCAGACAGCTTCTTAATGCCTTGTTAGCTATTGTTGCAGAATAACTGCGCGCTTAACGTACTGTGAAACCGTCATCGTTTAATAAGTCAACTGCTATCCGTTAGGAGGGTGACAGCTAAGCATTAAAGGGTTAGACCATCCAAAAGTGATATTACAGTTATAGTTACAGTCTATCGGGATGAGTCACCTGCTTTATTATTATATTTCATGTGGACTTTAACAAACAGTGATATGCCCCAACCATTGTATTCAGAGTAAGGATGGGTTAAAGCCCCTGCCAGATTATTTTTTGCACTCTCAGTTCCAGTGGGGACATTAGCCTTTACTTCCTGTCCCAGAGATGCTACAGGAAGTGGAAATCTCCCAAAGGGAGCTTCTTTCTTTGAAGTTCGTCCCCAAAACAAGTGCCCCCATTGAAACATTTTCCCCCACCTCTTGTTATAGGACAACTCTAAAATTTAGTATTTTCCCTCGCTTTCGGTTTCAGTGACAATGGACAGTACAAATAGAGGGTTTAGCTCCCCGACTTAGAAGGCAATAAAAACTTGACAGACGGTCTAACACTTCCATAATTCATCCAAAACTTTAAAAAAAAGGTTTACTTAGATATATGCTATAAGATCTGAGAACCAATGTGCAGAATTCTTACCAGCAGAGTTCCCGTTTATCACAGAATCCACTAAAGGTCACCCCCAGGCACATCACCAAATATGTGGATCGTCCTATCTGCCAAAGGAATTGTAATTCTGCCCATTCACGTTTGTGATACATACACATCTGCCAGGCAGTACAGCCAGGAGGGTGACACCACTTTCTTAAGGAATACAGTGGTGTCACCTCCAAGCTCACTGATTGGGAAATGAAGGAGCAGCAAAACACTCATAAGTCACCGCAGGAGTATTGCCACCCTATACCAGGAAGTACCTGATCATCAGTGCAGGATCGCCAGGGATTATTTTAATGAAACCTGCAGGTTATAAATATTTAAAGTGACTTCTGAAATGACATTAACATGTTAAAGCTTGGGTACCATGATAGCGATTCAGTTTATGTACACTTTAAGATCCCAAAACTCCGGCTCTAAGGTCATAATCCATTGTTTATATATTGGACCAATTTACAGACAACATTGCATCATTCCCATCAGTCTATGCATGTTGCTAAGAAAGGACATGGTGGACTCTTTAGTGACGGGGGGGAACGTTATATGGTTTGGCCTCAGTGGTGCAGAAGATGTTGGGTTATATAAGAGCGCAGTAACATTTGTCTCTCACCAGGTAATGGACAGCTCCATGCCTTTGATTGGAGAGCACGTGGAGGAAGACCGCCAGCTGGTGGCCGATCTTGTGATCGCAAAGATGACGCAACATGTCCAGATGAATTCACCAGCATCTTCCCAACCCAAACAGCAGGTATGGACACAGAAGGATCAGACACACCTAGCGGTACACTGTATTTATAGAAACATTTGCAGAGCAGTTTGCCCCGCAAAATTGCGTGTACATTCATTCTGTGCGAATGGGGGCAACAACAAAAGTTATTAGTATACCTTCTTTCCAGGGCAAATGTAATGTCTGGAAAATACCATGCTTTTGCCAAGGAGCATAGGAAGTTAATGCTTATTTTCTATGCTCGTAAGCTGTCTCTTCAGGAGAGGAGGTTAGCAAAGACCTTCCCAATGGCAACAACACAAAACTAACCATTCCCTGCTCTATCCAACCTTGGAGAAAAGTTTTTAAAAATGTTTAACTTTTGATATACTTGAACTGTATAAACCAACAAACAACATAACTGTGGGGGGGTTCACATTTCCTGATCTATAGAGCATCTTGTGACTCCTCTCAGCATCCCTGCCACCCAAATTCCCTTACAGTTCTCTTGAAGAATTTAGCCACAGATGTCTAAAAGTGGCTAAGAAAAGGGAACACAATAAGAAAGAAAGAAAAGTCAGTTTGCACATTCTGAGGCTGGGTGCCGGCCCTCTAACCCTCCTGCCCTAGCCACTGGCCCACAAGTGGCATTATGGTAAATATACACTGAGTGGCCAGATTATTATGACCACCCCATCAGTACTTCGTTGGGCCGCCTCGTGACTCCACGAGATGGTGAAAGGTGATGCGAGGAATCTGACACTGCACTGTTGCCCTTCTGTTGTCTTTTCGGCTGACAGTCCAGTCTTTAAACACTTTAACAACAGCTGCTCTTGAACATTTAACGAATTTTGCTGTTTTGCTGATACTCGCTCCATGGCTCCGAGCGCCAACAATCATCCCACGTTCATAGGCTGTTAAATCTCGTTGTTTACCCGAATCTTCAGAAACAAATCACTTCTACTGTCGTGGTAAACAACCTGCTTCCCTATTTATAATGGTCTGGCCCTCTAGCAACTTCAGCGCGAAATTATAGCTAATTATAGCTAATTTGCTTACAAACGTCAGGTGGTCATAATAATCTGGCCACTCAGTGTAGACAAGAAGGAAATTAAATATAGGCGAGAAAATGATGAATCCAAACCAAAAGGTATGAAAAAAGGTGATGTCGTCTTTAATTAGTTTCATGCCATCTATCTACTATCTGGGAAAGGGCAACGGGCTCCACCGCCTATACTAGGGCATGGTCACTGCAGAGCTGGAAGGCCTGTGTCCATCCATTCTGGCCAGGAAGCATGGCATGGCCAGGAAGTGCTCAGTCTGCCAGCGTTCAATTTTTTTGTTGTTTTATATCTGCGTCTAGACACATATAACCTTCTGTCTTCCCTTTCAGCCCCAACAAATGCAGCCACAGGCTATCAAACCACAAATGCAGCCACAACCCGGTCCACAGGGAGCTTCGGGGGTTCCGGCCCAACCACGGCCCCCACCACAAGGTACAGGCTGAAACACATGTAGAAATAAAGAACTATATCTGAGAAAGGCGTAGATAACATATGTATATATCACAATGTTTGTTCTTATTTTTTCGAAAAAGTCCTATCCACACACTGCCAGTTGGATGGGAGTGTGCACGAGGGGCTAACTGTCTGTCTATCAAACGTCATGATAAAAAGGGTCTGAAGGAAAAACTGATTTTGTGGTCTGTATTAAAGCTTTTCTTTTGATTTTGAATAACGTGGGGAAGGGTTAAGATCCTTGACAGATCTTTTTTTGGTTTTGTTTATTTTTGCTGTGTGTGGCCCATATTTTAAAGATTTTCCCCACTTACTGCCCTGACGACCAGAGCAGGAAGTGGGGGGAACCTTTATAACGCAGACACAAGAGCAATAATAATTATATTAGCAATGTGGGAGACGTTTGGAATCTCTTGTTAGCTTGTTGGTTTGTTTTGAGGTCACCACCGTCACACTGTCATGCCGATTGACGGCTTAGAATAAAAGAGGAGTGGAGGCTGCAATTGTGCGCATATTTTTTCTAGACATCAGTAGGTCCTTCCTGGTCATCAGTGATGAAGGAACATGACTCTGCTGACATCTGCTGGACGTGGCTGATAATGCACACCCATCAATAGACACTGTTTTTACCTCGGCCTCATTTATCACTTAGCTTAAAGTGACACTAAACTCAGGAGGTAAATCTTAAAAATGCATTCAAGTACCTTAAAAGAGAACTATGGGGTAAGTGTTTTCCCCCATAGTTCTCTTAAGGGTCACAAGAGGACATATACTAACCTCCTCCCGTGACCCAAAGCTCAGTATATCGTGAGTTACAGTTTGCGGTATACTGAGACCGTTGCAGCCGGGGCAGATCCCGACAATGCTGTTGAGATCCACCCAGCTGCATGCATGAAAGCTGGCTCTGCCTATCTAGAGGCAGAGCCAGCTGTGCCCGCCCCCTCCCCCGTCCGTTCCGCCAGTCAGCGCTGGAGGATCGGAGCAGGGAGGGGGGAAACCCTGCGGGGAGCGGTTACTGACAGTCACCGCTCTCTGCTGGTGGAAGATCGGAAAGTGAGCGAGCGACGCTATGTGTTTGCTCGCTTCCTGATCTATTGAGCCGACGTGTGACAGTTTCATTCTCACACGTCGGCTTGAACTATGAGGATCAGTGATTTTCACTCACCTCATAGTTCTCCTTTACCTATTAACAATAATGTATCTTATTTGTGTATCACTCGGTTGTAGATCCTCAAAACATCTCTGAATTGGATCTGGAGGGTGGCTACTTTTGCTCCCCATGGCCCCTGCGTGTGTTGTAAAGTAGTCACCGCTCCAAGCTTACTCTCGTGATGGAATATAATCTCGAAACAAGTTAGTAAACTAAATGCAAGATTGTAGTCCATCACAGGAGCGAGCTTGGAGCGGTGACTAGTTTACAACACACACAGGGACCATGGGGAACAAAAGTAGCCACCCTCCAGAAGGAAGGACAGTGTCGGCACCAATTCAGAGATGATTTGAGGATCTACAGCCAAGTGATACATTATTGTTAATAATTAACTACCTCCCGGCCAGCCGCTGTGTATACACGGCCGGCCGGGAGCTTCTTGGAAGTAACTGGGCGCGTATACACGTCCTGTTACATCAGCCCCGCTCGGGCGCGCCGCGTGGGAAATCCCCGCTATTTGAAAAGAGGCAGCGATGCCCGTTAATATACAAGCGATCCGCCGGCTATAGAGCCGGCAGATCGCTTGTATGAGGCCCCGAGACGTGCCCCCCCCTCCGCGGCTCTCCCCCTCCCGCTGTCAAGCTGGTCCCGGGCTCCGGTGTGAGCCCGGGACCAGCATAGTGCCTCTGTCACAGGGGATCAGAGGGAGCTCGGTACACGAGCTCCCTCCGGTCCCCTCTCCGCTGTCAGAATGCGGAAGTGTTGTATATTACATCACTTCCGCATTCTTGTGTCACTCTCCAGCTTCAGATGCTGGAGAGAAGCTGATGAAGCAGACCTCTGCTTCATCAGCTTCTTCCGGCGGGTCCTAGGTGACATTAGGGGTCTTGGAGACCCCCTGATGTCTCCATAAAGAGGACCTGTCACCTCTTTTGCTATCACATAGCAATAAGAGCAATAGTTCTAGGGCCATCAATCACTGATAACACTAAACTGATGAGCGGTAAAAGCTTTAAAAGCGTCGCCTATGGCCAATTTTGGGTATGCTAGTTTTTTGCGATTTTGCGAGTGCGCGCAATTTTTGCGAGTGCGCGCAAAAAAGTGGGTAATATTAGTTGTTTTATAGCATAATGTAAAAAAAAAACGTTTTTTTCTCAAAATTTTCAGTAATTTCTCCTGAATATAGTAAAAAACAAAACCCGCAGTGGTGATTAAATACCACCAAAAGAAAGCTCTATGTGTCCCCAAAAAATGGTATAAAATTCATTTCAGTACAGCGTTGCGTGACGGAATAAATGTCAGTCAAAGTACCGCAGCGCTGAACACTGAAAAATGGCCTGGCCAGGTAGGGGATCTAAACACCTGGTCTTGAAGTGGTTAAGGTACTTGAATGCATTGTCAAGGTCAACTTCTAAGTTAATGTTACTTTAAAGAGAACCAGTCATCAGCTCTATATACAGTAGATGCTCCACGTGTAGCCCAAATCGGTTCTGAATATAATTTTTTATTTATTTATTTGTTTGTTTTGCAATATATGTTAAACTTGTTGTTTCCTATTGATTTTGAAAAGGTGGAGCCCGTCCAGGACAAGGGCCCGCACCTCCCAGAACAGGGGCCCCACCTCAGCAGAGGCTTTCTCCACAAGGACAGCAGCCTCAAACATCCCAACCTAGTTCCCCACAGCCGCAGAGATCTCCAAATTCCCCTCAGCTGCCCAGACCCGCCAGTGGCACCCCTCCGGGCCAGACACCCAAATCTGCTTCCGCTTCTCCGCAGCAGCCCCGACCCCCAACTCAGGGGCAACCACAATCCCAACAGGTGCAGCTGGGAGCAGCTGTCAAGTCTCAGCCATCTCCTCACCCACACTTGAAGTAAGTATCAGCTAGCAGTGTGCCAATATACAAAGTTCACTGGAATCTTACAAAATGGATCTAAATTCAACCACTAGCATCTCATATGATCTTTAACATGTTAATGTCATGAACAAAATGCCATTTTACATTTTTTTTAAACCTGCAGTTTTCATTAAAATAATACCTGCCAACTTTTTCACGTTGGTCCTTGCTCAGGAACTTCCTGTTATAGGGTGACAGTTGGCTCTGCATTGTGCTTCTGCATTGTCACCCTGTCACATGCACCCTTAGTGGAGACTACAAGCCTCCATGGCAAAATACATTGCCCTTATCAGGAAACCAGCTTAATAATGTGCAGCCAATGATGATGCATGTAGACAGGAAGTGGTTGAAGGAGGCTGGAGGAGATAATCAGCATTGAGCTGAAAAAAGGATGAATAAAGGTAAAAACAGTATTTATGACAAAACAATGCCAATGGTTTGATAGAGTTCACATAGCAAATTAAAGATCATCCAGTTAGGGTTCTGCATCTACTTTAAAGCGGACCTTTACCCATATCTTTAAAATAACAACAAACACACCTTTAGAAATGTTTAGTAATGACAATCTACAAACACAAACTTCTAGATAATCGCCGGCTTTGTATTCTTTGCATTGCTCATTTCTCTTTTCTTCCCCAGTCTTCTGACAGTGCCCATGTTTACTAAGGACAGATTACTAGCTCTCCTATTACTTCCTGGATTTCTAGCACATGTGACTAGACATGTGACTAGGACATGTGACCATGCACATCATCTCAGGGGAGGAAAATGCCTTTCGCTGAGATCTCATTAGATTACAGATGAGATTTACCAGCAATGCTGTGCTGATGACAAGGCAATCCCAGTGTGCATTGCTTTGCCAAACTGAAGTAATTTTCCCTTTCAGAGCAGGAAGTGAATGTTCTGCAAGTGTAAGTATTTCACAATCACAGCATTTTACACCTTACATGTCTATGTTATTATTAATCATCATACATAGAAGGATGCATTGGTAGAATTTGATTTCTGAGTGTAAAGGTCCGCTTTAACACTTGTGCTTTTGTTTTTCAGCAAATCCCAGTCGCTGACCAACAATTTCAATATCTCCGATCCGTCTCAAAAAGGTTCTGGTAATGAGGATGAAGCAAAAGCTGAAACCATTCGAAACTTGAGGAAATCCTTTGCAAGCCTGTTCTCTGACTAAACTCCAGTTCTTATAGCCCTCAGAGTTGTGAAAACATACAATTGTCACCCATTATTACAGAGAAGACCAACAATCCCATCATAACACCTCCTACGATAGGAGTGCATTGAAACATCTGATCCCGTCCCTTCGGAACCTAATATCTTCCGTCCGAGAATTGTATCAACCGCTGTCCTAAGTCAATGACGGACTGGGCAGATCCAACTTAAGAAGCTTTCCATTGACATCTGAGGATGCTTTATAAATGTTCTTAACCAGCTGGATATAGAAAACATAACGTTCAACTGCTGGGATTCCTTTTCCAGATAGCCAGACTCCCAGATGTTCGCTTCTGTGATGTCCCCTTGTGTACATAGTTTAAAAAGCATGAACATGTGATCCAAGATTCCCTACCCACAGTACTCAACCTTCAGGAAGTCAAAATCTCGGTCAAGGTCAGGGTGATTTAAGAGTTCTTCAGAGACTAGACCTGAGTTTCACCATTGGAGTGCGGGAGCTACAAGCCGTTCAGCTTAAATGTATGTACAGCCAAAACTTTGTTGAAATTTGGAAAGAGTATGGAAGAGCTGGAACCTCTGTCAGACTTTTATTGCTGCGTCCCCACTGTGGGAAAATCACATCTCACAATATTTCCTGGTGGCCATCATCTTCAGGACAGAAAATCCAGAAATCCACAGATTTACAGTTTTCATTAGAACAGGAATACAGTGGCCACCTGTTCTGGTGACAACAGTCTAAGAGGAGAGGTCCCCTCTTTTTGTAGATATTTCCTCCCAATTCCTATTGTGTATCTTGAACAGGAAGGGAAGGGAGATTTCCCCAGTAGGACAAAGGCAGCAAAACAAACCTGACAGGGGGTTCTAACCATTTCCTACTCTAACCAAAATAGTTGGCTTTATGTACAATTTAAGCAAGCCACAAACATGACTGGACCTTGGATAAGCCTGTCTTCACATAAGTGCAAGATGGGAAACGCCTCTTTGCAACTTTTAAGATCGCAAGTGGGAGCCCATCCCTATCAACCTCCGCTCTAAACATAAAAGACAAAAATAAATTCTGTCCATGCAATAGACCTCATTCTCTCAGTATTGTCCCCAGAAAATGTACAAATACCCAACAGTCTTGGTCTGCGTATGACCAAACTCATTCCATCTGATGCTACCAAGGACTTGGGCTTCAACTCCACAGTATGGTGTTTTCTGGTCTTTTATCAATGATTAGTATGCAAAGGTCCGAAGATTTCCTTTTTTTTTAATTAATTCAGTTGAATGAAGATCATGTCTTGTACTAGTTCAAAGATGTGTTTTCTGTCCTGTTCTGCTAACGCTTGAAAAAAATAAAACGTCCTGTTTAATGCTGCCATTGTCTGAGACTTTCAGGCATTACCCTGAGTAAATGCTGCAAGCTGCAGATATAGCCATTATAATCCAGATCAAAAATGCCACCCGCATTGAACCCACCCCTTCACTGTGTTTCTGCCAGCCATCTAGGGGACTCTAGGTCACACCCCTTACGTACGCTCTTTTGACTATGATTATATCGTGACTTTTATGCAAAAAGTTGAAGCCATTCCGTCATCTACTGCAATTTTGCCTAATTGCACTGAAATACAAGATTCTGTCTTCCTCAGATAGACAGTAAAGTACGGGCTCATGGTATCTGATGGTTGTTCCTCAGCGCTGCATCTAATCCCAGATAATAATTGTCTTCCTCGAGGAGTGAAATCTGGACTGATTGTGCTTGAATAAAATGTCTTGTTAAGACCCTAGCACTGACATAACCTTTGAAAATATGACAAAGGCCTTAAGAGAGATTGGCTTCAAGGGAGATGGAACTTATAATGTTTTTAGGAGTCAGTCCTTGGTTGGCAAGTGCTCTGCTCTTCAACGCAAGACATCGTAAATGGCTACCTATTCGGTCAAGCCGATTCAGGATACGAAAACTGTTCCTGGAAATGGAATGGCTTTATGATTTAAGACTGCTTCTGCTCATGTGAATCGAATCCAATAACATGAGCTTTAAAAAAAAAAAAATCCATTGTTCTTCCAGAGCTATCCTACAACACCAGACGTGTGCACAAATGACGTGTTATCATTCTAAGGTGACTTTATAAATGCTTTTCAGTCTCCAGACAACCACACAGCCATGTCCCCTATGCCCATGTTATAGATAATGTGCAAACTGAGCGATCTGTGCAGAAGTAGAGGGAAGTCGGGTAGTGCTGTGAATATAAGCTTTGCAGATTCAGTTGCTTTTGGTGTTTCGTTGACGTAAAAACCTAACAGTAAGAATAAAAAAAATATTTTTCGTTTTAGATAGGGTGGAGAAGGATTACAACCATTTTGGGGTTTTAAATGCTTTCTCCCAATTAGATTTCCTGTAACTTCCTCTTCTAACACTCATCACATAGACAGGATGTGAGGGAACATCTCCCCAGTGGGGACACAGACAGCCATAGAAACTTGGAAGAAAATGATGTGTCCAGAAAATATATGTATTTAGGTTCATTAAAAACAGCCAATCCACTTCAGGGGGCTCAATGGGTGACCCTTCATCAGAGCTGGAATAGAGTTAAATAGGAAAAGTCTGGACTGAGATGGTGCTGTACATAGCTTCCTACAGGGCATATAGACCGCCATCCAACCAGAAAATGAGATGGACTGAAATCAGAGTCACCAATTTCAGTACAGCAGGAGAGCCTGTGCAAGACTGAAGGTAAGGCTGGAGTTCAGCTTTCAGGACTGCCATGAGGACTACCTAGATGCCTACAGATCCACAAGGACTACCAAAATATTTTCCACTAACGCAAGCATATGTGCCAGTCCAGTGATCCCCTCCTTTAACATAATTCAAGTCATACAAACATGACAATTGTTCTATCTCTTTCCTATGCTAGAAAAATGTGTTGCTGTTTGTATCCCCTTTGGTGAGGTTTTCCCTAACTTCCTGTTCTGTTCCACACCTGTCAAGTAGACAGGACGTAAGGAGAAATCTTCCAAAGGAGGACACAGAAAGTAATGAACTTTTTACAGAGCTTCAAACCCTTCCCCGCTCTATCCAAAACTAAAAACCAAAACGTTGTTGCCGAGTTTGGCTTAAAAGAATGACTTTAGGAAAGATGTAAAATGCTAACATTGCATGACAACTGTCAGGAACTCTCCCTGGTTTACTTTAATCGGAGTTCTATTAAATCTCTTACCTTATAGGTTTTTTTTCCCCAGGGCTTTTGAGCTGCCTTTTATGGTTTGATTCTGTGTTGTACTGCCAGCTTTCCACTGTAGTTTATTAGTAAGGCCACAGTAGGCTTACAGTGGATGGTGCTGGAACCAGACAATGCTAGGGATTTAATAAGCAGTAAGCACGTCAAATATCTCAAGCTCAGACATGGAGCCACATAGTGAAAAAGCCATCAATTTGATTGCAAATGTTTTTATGTTTTACTGGAATATAAAAGGCAACTCCACGTCAACAGAAGGATAGACAGATAGGTGAATGAAGTTGAACATACCTCCTGAGATAGGAAAGACAAAGGCCTGAAAAGTTATAAGCAAACGACGTACCACTGCCATAGAATACTGTGAAACTGGATTTGGGACTTGAAGAAAAGGAACTCTTGCAGTGGGACTCCCTCTGCACTGCAAGAGGTAAACACTCGTTTTGTCTAGGGGATAAATTACTTCTGTTTTTCCTTGCTCCCACAGGCTTCCTCACCTTTGTAAGACCATTCCCCATTCGCTGCCCGGCTGGTCACAGCTCATCAGCCTCATCACATACAATGCAGAGCCAGCAGTCCTGCATTGTATGGAAGGACATCAAGGGCCGCCCATATCCCAGGAGCAATAAAAAGCGCCAGTTGCCGGGGGAACAAGAAATAAGGTAATTCATATTACTCATCATCCGCAATCCAAAAGGTGTCATTAACCCACGCAGCACAGAGGGGACCCACTGCAAGGACAACTTTTTCTCTAGCCCCAAGTTCAGTTTTAATAGGTGGCAGCTGATCCATCAGCGCTGGAGAAGACCAAACAGGCAGGCGGTATAATGTTCAACTATGCACTTATGGCACCATCTCCAGAACTACAGCTCAATTTTAAGTCCTGCAAACAAAGGATCTGGGACAAGAATGTGTATTCTATTTACTAATTTTATTTAACTTCCTTCCCGTCACTCTTCTGGGCCCTGCTTTCTAAGTTTCTTTGGAGTTATCCATTAGATGGAAGATAGCCAAGAGCAAAGATCTGAAAGTGCTAGAGTTGTAATACTTCTCCATAAACCGTCAGACAGACCAGATAATGGATTCTATTGGTTTGCATGCAGAATGTAAAGTAGCAAATAACTTGGACTGAACAGACAAGAAATATACTGAAAAGGTGGTTGCAGAGGGTGTGGCACCCAATTCCATTGGTTTACTTCAGGATCTTCCTGCTTTATGTTTTTGTGTATTTGTGTTTATTTATTGACAGCATAAAAAAAATATAAAGCAAAAAAAAAAGGCCTCTGAGTTTTTCTACTTCTGTGTTTGCTCCCCTCCCCCCCTAATATGCTCCTTCTGATTTTCCCAGGTGTATGAAAAGTTTTCTCCAAACAGGTTCCTCCCAAAAACAATATACAAGTGTAAAAAGTGATCAGAGGTCAAGAGTAGGTAGCGTACAGTGCAAAGGGTCAGGATGCACAAAATGCATGGGCCAGGAGTAAATAGTGCAGAGAGTGTAGAGGTCGGGAATAAGTAACGCAGAGAGCACAGGGGTCAGGAGTAAATGACACACAAAATACAGAGGTCAGGAGTAAGTAGAGGTCAGGAATAAGTAACGCAGAGAGCACACAGATCAGGAGTAATGCACAAAATGCAGGGGTCAGGAGTAAGTAGTGCAAAGAGTGTAGAGGTCAGGAATAAGTAACGCAGAGAGCACAGGGATTAGGAGTAAATAACGCACAAAATGCAGAGGTCAGGAGTAATGCACAAAATGCAGGGGTCAGGACAAAGTAACGTACAGAATGCAGGGGTCGGGAGTAAGTAACACACAGACTGCAGGGGTCAGCGGAAAGTAATGCACGGAGTTCTGGGGTCAGTAAGTAACACACAGAGGGATGGAAACAGGAGTATGTAAGCGCCCCCCCTTCCCCAGGGCAAAACTGCCCGCACCACAGATATAACAAGGCTTGGTTTTCTGCTTTATTTATTTTACAAGAAGGTACAAAGTGAAAACCGCAATAAAATCCTCCTTACTGACAGGCGAAAGGTAAGATTCTGGAGTCCACAAAGAGTGAATATGAAAATTATTTATTTGAAATGTTATGCTCACATTTAAAGTGAAATGCATCTTAGTAAGCTTACAATCTATTTTACAGCAAAAACTTTAAACTCAACTCCAGCTAAAATGATTTTTTCATTTTGGGTAGAGGAGGCAAGGGATAGAGATTCTCAAGTTTTTATTGTCCTAATTTCTGTATGTGGAAGTATAACCGGAGGGTCAAGTCTTCCTGTGTCCCTCATTGGAAGAAAAAGAAAACCTATTTATTACTAAAGGGAGAACAGTTAGGAGTTCTGACACCATTTGTATCAGTGCCTGCACCTTCCCATCTGAGTGACAACGGCACTCTTCATTCTTTTTGTACAGACTTCACTAGGCCGGGAAGTGAGAGAAATCCCCCATAATTTGATAATAGAAAAAATTAAAAATAGAAATGTGAATGTTTCCCAACCCTACTATCCAAAAGTCAAAAAATTATCATTTTCCTGGAGTTAGATTTGTTAAGTTAGCAGCTCTATGGGTTCATAAAAAGTAACAAAGCGCCATCTGCGAAAAAAGAGGGATACAGGCCAGTGTCAATGGGATTTTCTTTGCTTCATCACTCCTCTCTACATAAAAGTTTAGAAAAATGCTGAATTAGGTCAATTACAAGTCAACTATACCCACAATGAATTCTGCTCGATCTCAGAAGCATGCTGCATATACCCAGCGTGGCCCATTGACAGGAGTCCTTATTCTAACCTGCCCCACCGCCCATTCCTCCAATCTTTGCTCTGAGCAAAAGCTATGGCTGTTTGAAGGATGCTTGTGGTTCCTAACGCTGATCCTTATGTCACTACTGTGTCCTATAGAGATGTAGTGGCCAGCAGGAGAAACCACAGCGAGTAGCGGGAGACCAGGCACCTGACCAAGTATCTTGAAGTGTTGCATGTGAAGAGGCTCTTCCACTGCAAGAACATGAAGAGTGGAGGAATGAGCGGTAGGACGGGTCAATAAAAAAACCCTCTTCTTCTGCAGGTGGTGGTCTGTTACCTTTCTAACCCAGCAACATAGCATCCCTCTTGATGTTACTGCAAATAAAGCAAGGCCAGAACCAAAGGCCAACCCCACCCAAAACTAACAGCTTAGATTTTAAAAGGGACACCAGTGGTTTGGCAAGGAGTGGCGGGTACGGTTTTGCACATTTACAAATGTAGCCATCCCCAAATCACTTCTTCCCTGCATAGTTTGTGCCCTTAGGAAAAGCTGGCTGGGCGCCTGTAATCTGCTGCAAATGTTAAACACACTGGAGAAAATGCTTGTGTGTGCGATGCCTTACCCTCGGTGCTAATCTGCCATCATGACTGTAGGAAGAGATCTCATCATCGCCTAACATTTATAGCTACAAAGCAAACATTCTTCCTCAAGAAGCAGATATTCAAAGAGTATGTTTTGCCAAAACTTTCTTTTTTATTCTGGATATGCAGAAGCATTAGAACCCCTGTTATGTTCCTCCTCCTATCCAGGTCTCTGTTAGAGATTTCCCTTAACTGACTGTCACAGTGAAAATGGCTTCATCAGACAGAAAGTGAGGGAAGAGGTTTGGTAAGGAGACAGACATCAGATGGGCCCTCTCTGCACATAATCCACTATTTGTTTAGAACAATGGTGGCATGAAGGCTCCTCGGCTGTTTGGTCTGGGAAACTGAGGTTGCTGTGAGGCCCAATAGGTTGGAAAGGGTCCATTATTCTTCTTCTGCCAGGTAGGAAAAGAGAAAGGGGGTCTCTAGCAATGTGACAAATCCACTATTCGTCACTATTTTTTAAAAGAATGGTGGCATGAAGGCTCCTCGGTTGTTTGGTCTTCTGGGTAGAAAGCCACCACGGCCTGGTAAATTGGGGTTGATGTGAGGCCCAATGGGTTGGAAAGGGTCCATTATTGGCCTTCTGCCAGGTACGAAAAGAGAAAGGGGGTCTCTAGCAATGGGTAGCATTGGACGTTCATCATATTCACCTCCAATGATACCAGGTGGATAGGGAAAGTTGGGCGGGAATGGGTTAGGGACGAAAGGGTTAGGCAGGTAGGGTGGAGAAGGATATGGCTGGAAAATTTGATGTGGAGTCAGCCGACGTAATCTTGCTTTATACATTGCCTTGTACAGCTGTAAAACACAAAGAGAAGAAGTAAGGGATGAGAGGTATGCAAATCACACTGTAATGTGATATATCGATGTATGAGGAAAAGTAACACACATCTTCCTTATGCCTCCCGGTAACTATAGTACCAAATGTTTCAATACCACTTTTAATAATTAAGTAGTAGGAGCCACTGCTCTCCTTTAGATCACTGGTATTAAAACCGAGCAGCGTCGGCGATGGAGATCACCATAGAGCAGACAAAGAACGGACGTTCTTCGTCTGCTCTGTGTGATCACTGAGACCGTGGCGCTGTAATCACAGCGCCACCTGTCTCAGCAGTCACTAACTGCAGCTTCCGTCACAGAAGCTGTCACAGAAGCTACGGTCTGACGAGTGCTCCATAAGGCGCACCGGACCTCCCTGCGTCCTATGGTCCGGTGCGTCTTATGGACCGCAAAATACGGTATATATATATATGAGATCAGATGTTTCCAGTGATGGGTACTATTAAAGCTGAGACATGCAAAGCTATTTTAGACGATTGTGCACTTCTAACCTAGTGGCAAAAATTGGTGAAGGCCCTTTTTTGTTCCAGCATGACTGTGCCCCTGTGCACACGGTTCAACCAGTTTGGTGTAAAGGAACTTGAAGGACCTGCACAAAGCACTGATCTCAACTCCATTTCAACACCATTGTGATAATCTGGAAGGCAGGCTGTGAGCTGGGTCATCTGGATGCCATCAGTACCCGGCCTTATAAAAGTTCTTTTGGCTAAATGGTCACAAATTCCCACAGACACTCTCCAAAATCTTGTTGAAAGCTTGCCCAGGAGAGTGGAGGTCTTCTCCAAAGGTAGGTCTACAGAGAGAAGGACCCTTCTCTGTTGTGTGGAAGCAGTGGTCTGATGTGCCCCCAGCTGAGTGAGACCTATAGCTCTGGATAATGCAAAGCTCCTTGCTGAATGTAGAGCTCTAGCTCTAGGGGGTGTTAGACATCTGCAGAGAGACCACTGCTTCCACACAGAGAGCAAAGTTCATCTATGCTTTAATGCAGACCTCCACAGAGGCAAATAGTTGCCTTCTTTTTGCTCCCCTGCCGTTCCATTCAGCCACTGGGAGTGAACGGAGAGCCCCGTGTGAGCTTAGCGTCACTGGATTTGTAGCTTACACTGGGCTATAGGCTTAGTGCTGTCACAAGCAGAGTCACATGCTCCTCCATACTCAGGAACTCTGGGTATTACCTTTGGCTCGCAGTGCTGAACTAAGCCATGGGGGAGTGAAAGACAGGTAAGTACATAATGCTTGGGAATGAGGAATTAAAGCAAATCAGAATGAAGGCAGCACATGTTTGCTTTAAAACAAGGGGATGACTGGGGCCTGTCTGTTTTTGTGTGCTAAAGCGTATCTAAACCCAAGAATAAAAGAGTAATACATTGCAGTTTACCAATCCTTAGATGTGGTGGCTGCATACGGGTTTTTCAGGCTTTTTTTAATCCTTTATTTTCACCTGGTGATCCTGCCAGTAACGCACTTCCCGTCCTAGGGTGACAACCAACACTCACTCAGCTGTATCTATAAAGAAGTAGTGTTGTCACCCTAGGACATGACTACAAAGCATCCCCCTCCTCCTCTTCATAACTTGGGTGCAGGGTTAGGAACAATGCAACTAATAACAGTCAGCACAGATAGAGAGCAGAGGAAGTTATCAACTCACAAGATTTCTGTCAGAATCAGCAGGAATTTGATTTGCACGTATCGAACAGATAGAACAAAACGCGTTCAATGGTGTATTTACCAGACCACAAGGAAATAAGATTTCATTGTTAGGGTTCACCTACACTTCCATGTTCATTGTTTGATATTTTTTTTTCCTAATATTGTCTAAAAATAAATGAAATATAAAAAACAGGAGGACATACTCACATCCTTCCAGTCTGTCTGCGGCATCCTTGAAGTTCGGTCTGTAAAACATAAAAAACATTGAACCTCGGCTTGTAAAATTCACCAGAACAGGATTATTTTTTTGGTCCACCACAAAATGGAAGCCTGGAGAAAACATGCAATATATTACAACTTATATACAACCCGGCGAGGACAGAATTTACAACGAAGGCTGAACAGACAATGGAGATGAGGTGATCATTTAAAGCGGAACTTTACACTCAGAAATCTAATTCTACCAATGCATCCTTCTATGTATGATGATTAATAATAACATAGACATGTCAGGTGTAAAATGCTGTGATTGTGAAATACTTACACTTGCAGAGTATTCACTTCCTGCTTTGAAAGTGCAAAATGAGTTAAGTTTGCCAAAGCAATGCACACTGGGATTACTTTGTCATCAGCAGAGCATTGCTGGGAAATCTCTGTAATCTCAGGAGATCTCAGGGAAAGGCATTTTCCTCCCCTGAGATGATGTGGATCTGCATGCTGCATTTTTTCTGATAGCTCTGCCCCGGAACAGAGGGCATTCCTGTACTTCGCGCTCTGGTGCGGGCGGGGGACGTCTGTAGTGCCATTGACATGAATGGCACCGACACGCCCCCTTCCACCCCAGAATGCTGGCCTGCTTGATCTATGCGATCCAGTGTGTTCCAGGCTCGAACTGCACTGGAACGCACTGGGTATGGTGTGACTGGGCCCTAAATGCTTCCGAATCGTGTCGCAAAATCAAAGAAATAAATACCAAACATCCATTAAACCAGTGGTTCTCAACCTGTGTAACCTCAGGACCCACATTTGTCCTTGGTCATTAATTTGCGACCCATGCACGGCATTAGAACGCATGGCATTGCGGTGCTGCGCGTTTCGGTGCAGATGATTTAACTGTGGGTGGGAGGTGCGTTTGGGGTGCCATTTAAATGAATGGCAAGGCAACACATCTCCTAGACCAGAACGCATAGTAGGTGCGATTGCATGGTACAGTGCGTTAATTGCACAGGACTGTTCGATTAACGCACTGTACTAGTGTGAACGAGCCGTCAAAAACACTGACAGACACAATCTCACACAATCCCCTTTTTATTTTAAGATCCATCCAGTCTCCCTACCTTATGAGAACTGGAGTGGATCCTCAGCCTGGGGTCCAGTGTGGGCTGCTGTGCTGTTGGATAGAGCTCCATGGATATGTGCATTGCTTGAACAACTCCCTTGCGTGCCCTGTAGGGGTGCTGGCAGCCAGAATGTGATGTCAATCCGGTCCAGGCACCTCTACAGGACAAATGAGGAAGCTGTAAGCAATGCATGTATGGATGGATCTCACTCGAGGCCGTACCCCCAGCCAACCCCACCTCAAGCTGACACTCAGTGCCAGGCAGCATATTCTGAATGGAGTGCAAGAACTGACATTGCTGCGCTAGGGGGAGGCTGAGGAGTCTCTCACCTAGAAAAGTGGAAGGCACGTGGTGACCCACTGAACACGGGGTTGCGACCCACTTTTGCGCCAAGACCCACCATTTGAGAACCATTGTATTAAACCTTATAAGGGATTTTTATTTTAAAAATATGTATAGTGTTCTCCAATACAAAACAAAGCAACAAGCTTCTGTGTTCACTCATTTATTGCACACACTCTCACACACATTCACACTCTGGTCTCTGCCGTTTCCTCCACAGGTTAAAAAAAAGCCCAACCATAAATAAGGTTGAAATACAGGAACACACTTTCAGCAAAGATGACTGCGATGTATTTACATTCATACGATAACTTACCTCGGAAATCCCTTCTGCATAAGAGCTTCCACAGGGTGGGGTCTCTTGTGTCTACATGTAGATCTTTACAAGAGGTGGAAAGTGAGAGAAGTGAGCGCACATCCAGGAGGCGAAAGATGCGCAGCTTTAGTTCCAGTGGTAAAACCAGCAGACCGAACACATCGGGTAGTTCCAGGGCTGTGACAGAGAATACATTGAGCCAGGCATATTCATTAAAGTGAAACATCAGGCAGATATAAATGAAAGCAGACCTATATTCAATAATACATAATTAAATGTATTTTCTAAATACAAGCAGTGAAGTCTTCTTCTTGGATGTTATTTCTGTATTGCTGTTGGAGAGTTCTCCTAACTTCCCATCTGGTTAAACATTGTCAGCAGGACAGGAAGTGAGGGGAATTCTCTCTAATGTAGGGTATACACGGGTACATTTTCATACGAAAAATCCCGTCGGGGCGTTTGATGATACCATCAGAGACTTGAAGATTGCCCTTTGAAATTTCGTTGTTCGTTTTCATTTAATATTTGATTTTGGAATGAATGGATTTTCCCGAATGAAAACCACATTCACAGTTAGAATTTCGTTCAATCAAGAAAAGTATTCCAGCGCGTGCATTCGAATTTTCTTTTTGTCACTTCAATCAAAATCGATCATCGATCTGACCCCATCAATGATTAGAAAGTCAAACAAATGTTCCAAAATTGATTTAGTTCCTTCACAATTCTAACCGTGTATACCCTTCTTAATGGAGCCCTGGATTGCAGCAAAACCAAGAGAAAAAGTTTTGGCTTGACATACACTTTTATGTCCCTCTGGATAAACCTGATTATCGCACAAAGGAATCTCCCACCAGTTCAGCTTACCTTGTCGTGTCGCAGCGAGTAAAGGGTAAACAAACTGATCCTTGAAGAGACGTGATAACTTCTGCAGGTCCCTGTACACTAAGCTCACATTATTATCTATAAAGAAAACAGAAGACACATCAACATTACCGAGATCACCCACGTTTCAGCAATAACAAAAGCTACTTCACTTAAAAGGAGAAGTATGAGGCGAGTGCTTTTCACTCACCTCATAGTTCTAGCCGACCTGTGACAATGAGACTGTCACAGGTCGGCTCAGTAGATCGGGAGGTGAGCGAACACATACCGGCGTTCGCTCACCTCTCGATCCTGTCACGGCTCTCTGCCGTGACGGGGGAGGGGCTGGATTCCCCGTCCCCGCTCCGATCTGCCAGCGCTGACTGGCGGAACGGACGGGGGAGGGGGCGGGTACAGCTGGCTCTGCCTCCAGATAGGCAGAGCCAGCTGTCAGTCACGCAGCTGGGCGGATCCCGGCATAATTGTCGGGATCTGCTTCAGCTGTGGCGTCTCAGTATACCGCGAGCTACAGCCTGAGCCTAGGGTGCCTACATACTGAGCCTAGGGTGACGGGAGGACGCTAGTTTGTGTCCTCCCGTCACCCTAAGGAGAACTATGGGGGAAAAGCCTTAACCCCATAGTTCTCCTTTAAGAAGGAAGAAAAAGTGACCAGCCCAATAAAATGTTAAATTAGATTCAAACCCCATCAACTAAAATGTCATCAAAGCTTTAACCTGTCAATGTCATTTCGAAAGTAATTTACAGTATTTTAGGTGTGAAGCTTTCATTAAAATAGATCCCTTGTAATCCAGCCATGATGGTCCCTGTTCAGACACTTCATGTTACAGGGTGACAATGCTCTGTCCCTGTCTCCTAAATCTGCTTCTGCGTTGTCACCCTGTCACATGGGCTTCTTATGGATTCACTATTTTCTAACCGACTGAACTCAGACTAACATCTGAATCAGAAGGGAAAGAAAGATTGTGACTGCTCAGGAACCCCCCCCCAAACTCTTCCTCAGTGCTGAACAAGACCCGCCAGTGTATCGGAAGAACCGTGATCCACAAAAGGATGGCAATGCTCTTCGGAAACTTACTGATGTAAAACAATCAAAAAAATTGCAGCCAGTAGCAGAACCTTAACGCGTTCCTCACAGTTCTGCTACTGGTGTCAAAGTTCTGAAACTGTACTGAATGGTTTGATAAATTCCAGACAGTATTGCCATCACTATACAGGATCTAAAAAAAAGGCTGAAGCCAGAGAAAGCCGGGCAACTGGTACTTCAGCAATAGATAAAACCGGCACTGGTAAGGGGCTCCGTCCATTCAATACTTTATTTGCAAAAAGGCATAAAAGGAGCCAAACAAATAAATAGCATTTCTTTGTTGGCTCCTTTTATGCCTTTTTGCAAATAAAGTATTGAATGGACGGAGCCCCTTACCAGTGCCGGTTTTATCTATTGTTGAGTGAAGGTTCTGGTGGAAGCTTTACCAGGCCCCGAGGTTCCAGAGCGGGATTGGAGACAAGAGGGTAGAGCTGCTCCACATTTTTCTCAATTGCAAAAGGTATTTCAGATGGAGGTCTATGGCACCCTACATACACATATAACTGTTCCGATTGGCTTTAATTGAATTTTTTTTTATTTCAATAAATTTTTATTGGCATATCAAGATGTAGAAAATACAAACAATGCAGACTTGACCAGAGCGGATGGTGGGTCTCAGGATCTACCAGCATCGGCTTTGAGAGCTACTGGTAGATCGCGATCTACCTAATGAGCACCCCTGCTCTAGACTATCCATTCAAACTGTATCCAATTAGGCAAGCCCTTACACTACCTAGCCTTTGATAAATCCAAAGGTGATTGGACAGCCAGGTTGTAACGTCTGTGGTGAGCTCCAGAAACACTAGCGTCTACAATTTCCAAATGCAAAATCGTTTCCCTCGGAGCAACACAGACACTTCAAGAGCCTGTAACAGGGGGAAACAAGTTAACCACTTCTGTGTATATAGACGTATTGCGGGCCGGAAGTGGTTAAGTAATAAACAATGAAACAAAAGAATTACATTGTAGATTCATTGTTTGAAATCCACACATACGTAACTCACCCGGTGCTGGGAAGTTGATGAAGGAACTGGAGGGCAGCGGAAGGGTCTTCACACATTTCACTTCCTGGTTCATGTTCACTGTGGCTGTGTACAAGAAGCAACACAATATACTGTAAATTGACCAATAATAAGCAACAAGCCTAAAGCCCCATCAATAGTCAAGTGTTGGTTTTCGCTATATACAGACATGTTAACATAACTGGCTGCCATGCCGATTCCCTGGCTTCATTCCTAGCCCACATACGTATATGTACAGTGTAGTGAGAAATGCTGGCCTGCCTACAAATAAAGTATTAAAGCCATTACATTAGTACAATAGCCAGGCACCTGGTAGTTTTTTTTTTTGTAGAGATCAGCAATGGCAGCTCATTTTCTCATCTCAGGATTCCTTTAACTCTCGCTGGCAGGGAAATGTTCTTTCATTTTGCACAAACATAATAAAATGCTCCCCATCTCCTTCATATAGAGGTCATCTTCAGAGCCTCACAAATCACTTCTACTGGAAAGCCAGCAGCCAGGAGTAAACGAGTCAACATACGGCTGCCATAGTGGCCATGAGTTTGTTTACATGCCGATGCTGCCAATGCCCTGAAAGCCCCTGAAAGCTATGGCAGCTGCAGCAGTAGAGTTACAGAGATTCTGTCAGTCTGCACAATCAGGGGAAACTGACAGAGTCTCTTAAAAAGCCCTGGCCCACTTATACTCACCTTCGCCTTGCTGCCCATCGGCTCTGTTCCCCAGCGGAAGCAAGGAGTCATACCCTGTTTTTGGGTCTGGCAAATGGCCATTCAGATCTGAACACAGCATCATGGAAGGAGGTCACATGCCCCCCTTACCCAGATGTAATGTGTATTTGTGATAGCGGAATGGAGTGGCAGGGTAGCATTCAGATCTGAACACAGCATCATGGAAGGAGGTCACATGCCCCCCTTACCCAGATGTAATGTGTATTTGTGATAGCGGAATGGAGTGGCAGGGTAGCATTCAGATCTGAACACAGCATCATGGAAGGAGGTCACATGCCCCCCTTACCCAGATGTAATGTGTATTTGTGATAGCGGAATGGAGTGGCAGGGTAGCACATTAAAGACAAATATAAATGGTGGGTCAAGGGGTGGACAAGTGACTTTGTTATTAGAATCTCTATAACAGGGCTCAAAATTTCAGGCCCTGAGCTACTAGCCAGGCCTTAAGAGTTACTTGCCACCAGTTGCCCCACCTAACCCCTACCCTGCACCGGCCTTAACTCTGCTAGGTCAGCAGTGTGATTTAAAGTACAGAGATCAGTAACAACTGTGGCAGTGCGTGGCAATGCCACTGTGTTATCTCCATTCCTGTGGCCAGCGCATGCTGATGGCACAAGTGTGCACAGCCTTTAAATTAACGGTGTCGGGAAGGGTTCAAGACACCACCTGGGAGACAGGAAGGCTCCACCCAGGAGTCAGAGTGGAGTCCAGTGCAGCAGGGTGCTGCGGATTGAGAAAACCCCAGTGTGCAGGTGAGCACACGACTGAGGATGTCTGGAGGAACAGACAGTGGCCTGAGGCCGGAGCAGCGGTGCTGCAAATGTAAAGCCAGGAGGCTGGATAGGCAGGTGCTGCCATGAGATGCAAAAGATTGTTCTGTTTTGTGAACTCTCATTTAATAAAAGTAGGCAAGGAAGCCCTTGAATGAAGATTACAGCGAGTGGATGCGTACTTTATGCGCTACTATTTGGAGCTAATCCCCACACAACACAGAGTGCAGAGTTCAGTGGTGTAATTCCCTTCACTCCGGCCAGAGAAGAGAGAAGTAAAGAGAGCGATCGCCGCTGCAAAAGTGGCGGTAGTTTCACCCCCCCTGGATGAATTTCCACTCGCCCCCATGCAATTTTCACTCGCCAATTGCAAGGAGGCAAGTGGAAATTTTGAGCCCTGCTCTATGACATGAACATAGACCACGCAGGGTAGTTTTTATACATATACTTTACCATTTATTATAAGGAGCTTGCTCATAGGCACACAGGCCAAAAGGGCAGAACTGTCTCCACACAGGGGATGAGTGTAACGAAGCTTGTAGATGTCATCAGTGTGCCGCCACCCCTCAGGCATAGACGCACCTTTTCCTTCAACACTCTGCAAAGGAAACATCATCTGGATTAATAGGGTGAACTTTAGCCTTACCTGCAGTCTTGCAAAGTAGTACAGGAACCTCTCCTGCACTGAAATTAGAAGCTGTAGCAAGTACGATAGAGCCCATCTCATTTTCCTGGTTGACATCAATAACATTTTGCAGGTGTCCTTATCCTTTGTATCCTCCCTACTTGATCCAAAACTTAAAAAAAAAACCATGGCTATAGATACACTTTGACGCCTAAATCCAGAGAAATATTTTTTTGGTTGTGGACAGAATTCAGATTTTCCTACATTTCCTGTCCTTGTGACTCCCATAAAATGTCACCATCACAGAAGGGTGCAGACATAAATACAAACACTTTCAGAAGTTCTAGTCCATCCCTGCTCTACTAAAAATTGTGTTTCGGTTTGGGTCTCATCACTTCCGGCCCTGACTGGAAACTAACACATTTTGGGCATTCTGAAGGGGGTCTCCTGAAACTACTTTAGCCATCTAAAAGGTATTTTCATTTTGATAGCAGCCACTCCAGAGTTATTATACACTAAATTACAAACTTTGCAGACTCTTCATATCAGACTGCATTCATTTGGGATCCAGCAATTCTGACTTACAGCGACTAAGGAATACATTCCTGGTCTATCCAATTCTATTATATTTTATTGGCATTTCAATCTGTGCTAAATCTAATTGATGATTCTGCCATGAAAATCCTTGTTCAGACATTTACTGTTAAGAGGATGGCTATCCCTCTGTCCTAATTGTTATCCTGTGTTGTTACCCTGTCACCAGGGTTTCCAGTGGAGACTACAAGCGGCCATTGTAACACACATTGCGCAGACATGGTTCACTGTTGTCATCATCTGTAAACCTGCCCTCAGCCCTGGTTCACACCTAGGCGGCACCGTTTTTGCGCGCTTGTACGCGCGGCAGCAGCATGAGGTACATGAAGACGCGCGTTTTGATTGGCAGCTCATAAACTATTGTGGGCAATGGAAAAACGCGCGTATAAACGCACAAAAAATATCACGAAAATGTGCAACATGGTTCTGTTGCGCGTTTTTGGGAATTTCCAATAAAGTCTATTGGTAGGAAAAGCGCTTTTAACTGCCCAAAGAAGCTCCTGTATCTTTTCTGGCGTCTGGCGTTTTTCTGCTGAGGTGTGAAGCACGGCCATTGGAAATCAGTTGGGCAGTTAAAAGCGATTTTTTAACTGCTTAAGAACGCCTAGGTGTGAGCCAGGGCTAAGAAATGCCATGCAGCCATTGCTGGAGAGCATGTAGACAGGAAGTGACTGCAGGAGAAGCACTGAGATGAAAACGAAAGGTGAAGACAAGTACAGTATGTTATTTTTAAAATTAGCAATCTGAATGTCATTTAGACGGGGAATTACTTTAACCCCTTCATGACTGAGGCCCTTTTTTAATTTTTTGCACCCATGTTATATTCCACATTTTAGGCCTGAAAATGACGTAAAACCCCCCAACATTATATATTTTCTGAATGCCAAGACCCTATAGAATAAAATGGTGGTAGTTGAACATTTTTATGTTGCGCAATATTAGCGCAACTCCTTATTAAACCCCAAAATTTAGTGACAAATTTAATTAAATGCCCCAAAACACAACAAATTACCCATTTTTTTAATGAAATATAAAAGATGAGGTTACAACGAGTAGCTGGAGTTGGATAAGAACTTGTTGTAAGCAAAAATCATTCTGTGGATTCTCATAGCAAAGCTGCTTAGATCCTTAGACATAACCTGTCAATAATTCTGCTTCAGTTTTTGGAAGCTCCATATTGTCCCCAAAAGTTACCTGAACAATGTAGCCCGTCTCCAACATAAGTACATGGATAACCACCATCAGAGCATCGTTAGGGCTGGTGCAGCCAGCGGAGAGGTAGAGGGACTCGAGGGAGTGCGGTATCTTCCCATCTACAGATTCACTGACCAACATCGGCTCTGCCAGACAGTAAGGGGGCTCTGCTTCCACTGTAGCCTCCCTGGCTTCTGCTTCATGGCAGGAACTAGCCATGGGCTTCAGGAATGTAAACAAGAAGAAATACGTTATTTTATCTCTATGACACCATATGGTGTACCATATCACAAAAATCTGCAATCTGCTCTTCCATTTAGATGAAACCTACACAGCCATCAATAGAGGAACAATGGGGGGAATTTATCAAAACAAAATCAGCTTCTCTCTTCAGTTTGTTCCATTAAAATTTGAAAAGGAAAGATAGAAGCTGATTGGTTGCCATGCACAGCTGCTCCAGATTTTGTCTGCTCCAGTTTTAATAAAGTCCCCCTCATAGTCTATAAATGCGAATTGGCTGTTCTGGTTGCAAAACATTTGAACCCCTGCGGATTAGAAGGTCAGAAATCATAATTTGCATACTCGTTCCTTATTATATCAGAAATATAGGGAGGAGAGTGCCAATGTGTATTAGAGTCCAGATATAATGTATTTAGTGTTACAGGGATTCTGTGGGCCCCCTTCATAGGCTGCTACGCCAGCTACTGGAAAAGACTTTATGCTCCTCCATAAGTACATTGTACATTTGAAGTGCTTTCTTCCTGTTGTCTGGATCTTTCTCCGTCAAACATTTTGAGGCCTTGATGAATGGTGCCTCAGAATGAGTTGGCTTCTTAACAAGTACTGTGAACAATAACTTATCTCTGGACTCCTGACTATATTTCTGATCAATCCAAGAGCTGAATAGCAGCCCCTTGTGAAATCCCATTGGGAATTCCAACTACACCAGGGAATCCAGTACTCCAAAATCCCAATTGTTCCTGATAATGACTCAGAAAGTACTAAAGCCACCAGATCAACATATCAGCCAGTCGCCCAGCATTTTGGGCATTCCAAAACCCGACATCATCCCACTGGGAAGTCCAACTTCACCAAGGAATCCAGTGATCCAAAATTAGTTGGCTTCCTAACAAATACTGTGAACAATAAGTAATCACTGGACTCCTGACTATATTTTTGATCAATCCAAAAGCCGAATAGCAGCCCCTTGTGTACCTTACAGCTGTTCCCTAAAAGCCTTCAAACAAAAAGACACCACCCCATTGGGAAAACTAACTACACCAGGGAATCCGGTGGTCTATCAAAGATTGTGACTGGATTGGAATGTGTGACCGGTCACGGGGTCACACATTTTAACATAATCACGCCCACTTATTCGGCGGTGGAATATGTGACCGGCAAAAGATGAAGAATTCCAACGATTTCTCAGCTGTTCCAGGGCAGATCCGACTTTATAAATGCAATCTCACATTCCACAAAGTCGGATAGAAGTGACATTTCAAGACCGATCAGCTGTTCCAGGGCAGATCGGTTCTCCTGCACATACCATCTGCGATGCCGATCTGCCCTGGAACAGCTGAGAAAGTGTTGGAATTCTTCACCTTTTGTCGGTCACATATTCCACTGCCGAAAAACTGGGCGGGATTACGTTAAAATGTGTGGCCACGTTGCCGGTCACACATTCCACAGCCGAAGAACATGCCGGGATTACGTTAAAATGTGTGACCACGTCACTGATCACACATTCTAACGTAGTCACAAACTTTGATAGAACACCGGCATGCCAAAATGCTGGTGTTTTGGAGATTCTGAGGACCCCCTTCAAAGGCTCCAAAGCCAACTACTGGAAAAGACTTTATGTTCCTCCATAAGTACATTGTATGTTTGAGATACTTTTGAAAGCCTTGATGAGAGGGGTGCCTCAAAACCCCCAAAAATGAATGAATACTGAGAACAATAACTTATCTCTGAACTCCTGACTTTATTTCTGATAGATCCAAGACCAGATCAGTATCCCTTTGTGTACCTGAAAGCTGTCCCTGGAGCTTCTACAGATCAGAAGACACCATCCCAAGAAGAGAAAAGCATTGGCAGCCTCCATATTCTGTTTGTACACGTGATCTGAATATGCCACCTACCTCTGGTAAGCTCTGTGTTACTGGCGTACAATCATCCTTCTGGACACTGTGACTTTTGCTGGGCTGGACACCCTCTGCGTTAGGGACAGAGGGTTGGCGCAGATTTGGGACAGGCTGAGCTGCTGCCGATGATGGAGCTGCTGTAACAAGCTGCGAGTCTGGCACTCGAAGAACTATCAGATCTCCGGATATGATACCGCATGACTCTAGGTTACCCTGGTCATCCGTCAGGGCGTCCTTGCCATTCAGAGTGATGGTGAAAGTCACATCCGAACTGTGAAAACACCAATCGCTTGTTTCAGCCTTTCAACCATATAAAATAAAAAGAAAGATCACAGCTGCTGCACACACTTCTTTTAGAAATGGCCTCAAGTATTTACTCATTTTAAAGCAGGACTTTAGACGAACATAAAAAAATGTTTTATTCGGAATAGATCATCAAAAAAATAACACACGCAAGCACGCACACTACATTTATTTTAAACTACTGCTAGGAAAAACCACCTGTAATCTTCGGTTGTATTATTTCCCAAACAGCCTCTGAACAGCAAAATAACAGAGCAGACAGGAAGTGCTGAAAAATCTTACCAGTGGTGTCACTGATAAATACAACTTGAAAAGTGAAGATCTGGTATAAATAGGGAACATCTAGAAATGTTAATTGTGCCTAAGCAGTAGGGATGAGCTCCGGTTCAGACCGAACCCAAGTTTACTGAAACATGGAAGCAAGCCGACAGTACTGGCTCAATCAGCTGTGGTCAGAGCAGCTGCATGTAAACAAAGGGGTGGATGCTAGTGACATCACTGACCTTATATGGCCACATCCTGCCCCTTTGTTTATGTGCAGCTGGTGGTGGGGAATGCATGGATCACAGCTGATTGGGTGAGCATTGTTGGCTTCCTTCTGGGTTTGGTCCAAACCCAATCTCATCGCTACTGAGCAGTACCCTGAAACATTTAGGCCCCATTCACACTGAGCGATTTATCGCACGATTTTTGCAGCGATATCGCTCATATTTCCACACGATATCGCTCTATGTAGCTTCTCCAATCCATTTCAATGGAGCTGTTCACATCTCTCGGCTCAATATCGCTTGTAGCTCGTCGCTGTAGCTTGTCACTCCAACATGACCCTTTTTTCTGAGGATTTCGAGCGTTTTTGCTCCTGATTGCATACAGCCCAATAGGAAAAAGTTGCGCAATATCGCACATGGAAAATCGCGCGATTTTCATGTCGCTCAGTGTGAATGGGGCCTTAATGTTTTTTATCTGGAATTCCTCCTAACAAATATCAGTGCACTTCCTGGTATGTGAGGGGGGTCTAGGCACTTCTGTGTCTACAGCCTCATAGCTGTATATCTGCAGTGTGAGATCTAAGGCACTGCTGACCTCACCAGATATAGACTGAGGTTTGGTAGTGTCACCACTGAGCTGCTCTCTGTTCTCCTTGCTGGAGGATCTTCAAGTGTTGTGGTGTGTCACCTGCACTGCATACGGCTATGCAGACCTTTCTCTTTCCAAATAGTGGTGCTCAAAGTGATGACGCGGGTGACGCCGTGTGTGTGCACGATATGCATGAAAGGAATCACCAGCACTCCCAGGATGCAAAAATCTTGCTCATTTTTATTGAATGTGTTTCTCATGCGTCAATCAAACCAATGTTTCAGAGCCAGACAGGGTCCCTTCCTCAGGGTGATATAGTGACCAATTACTATGTCGCCCTGAGGAAGGGACCCTGCATGGCCCCCGAAACATTGGTTTGATTGACGCATGAGACACACATTCAATAAAAATGAACAAGAAAGATCAGCTACGGCGGTATCACAGGCAAAACTGGTGACTAGTTCTTTACCCTCCGCTTGTCTTTTTTTGAGCACAGCTTCTGCAGTTCAATTCCTCTTAAAGTTGATCAAAATTAATTATATCAACAACAATAAAAACTTTATAAGACAAAAGATAAATAAATGATGGTATACACACCTGTACCCCAGCGAGGGAAGGAACGATGCAGACAGTTTCCTACGGAGATCTCCCAATGTTGGCTTCTCCTCCTCCAGCTCCAGTCTCCCAGTCTGTCCTCCGACTCTCACCCGGAGCTTCATGCTGCCTCCCGGGGCGATCCTATAAGACAGCGGCCATCAGAAATACAGACAAGACACAAGTACTATTTACTGCAGAGTCATCAGGCGTCTTTAAAGCAGCAGTCACACTATATTCTGGAACACTTTCATTTTCACCGCGCGGATGAAACTTTCACTTTCATGTCGGCATCAGATTTCACAACACAAATCTCTGATTAGAGGTTCGGGAGAGGAACAGGAAATGCCATTCTGCCAAAAATAACATAATAGATGTTTCCCCAATGTTCATAAAGAAAGTACCAAGGATTTGGTTGTCACCAGAACAGGAATAGATGGGAAATCGTCCAAAAGAAATGCCAGTTCTAGTGACCCTGCTGACCACCAGGGATTCCCGTCACTCTGGAGGGATTTCCTCTCACTTCCTGTTGAGGTTATTTGACCATAAGTGAAGGGAAATCTCCCCAATAAGACACAGATGGTAAAACAAAAGCTGACAGGGGTTATAACCCTCCTTTATGCTATCCAAAAAAAAAAAAAAAGGTTTTGCCCTCAGCAGAGGCGTCCCCAGACGTGGTGTCACCCGGTGCAGCCTCCGGGTGACACCCACTGGGACATCACCCTGCATGCGCGTGATGATGTCGCATGCACCTAACTGCCAGTGGCCATCTTAGTGATGGATGCCAGCAAAGAGAGGAGGGAATGTTTACCCGGCAGGATAAGGTATGCCGCCGGGTTCCCTCCTCTCTTGTGCAGCTGTCCATGACCAAGTGCCTGACTTTTCAGATGGGGTGACACCAAAATGACTGTCAGTCATTTTGGTGTCACCCCCTCTGATGACAT